CAAGTTTAAATGTTCTACAACATTTCTCAATTTATAAAGACGATCTGCTTGTGGATCATCCTTAGCTTTCATTTTTGAGTTATCTGTAAAATGAATCACTTTTCTGACATGATCAAAAGCATGTTGGCTCATTGTTTCTTTTATTTGGGACACTCCAATATTTTTAGACCAGTAGCAACGTGCATTAGGCAAATGGATGACTGACATATAGAGCAATATTCCAATAAATTTACTGATGTCATCTGTAGCAATGTTGGCTAGCTTAGCAGGATTATTTTGAACACTGTATAAATTAGATTGGTTGGCAATCTCTTGCAATAGATTGTCATCAAAAAAATATTTAAAAAATTGAAATGGAGTAGACAATTCTTGTATACATGCAGGTAATGAAGAATTACCTTTGAATGCTAAAACATCTTCATTTAACAGTAAATTTCTTTTTTTCCATAAAATACTTTTGAATTTGTCTTTAAATAAATGCAAATCATTAGGATTTTCATCTAAGTCTTCCCTAATATATTCGTTTTCGGTCTCATTAAAGTTTTCATCCAATTCATTTCTTATATCGCCGATATTTTCAATTTGTTCTCCGTCATTTTCTGCTGTAACTGGAATATTTGATATGTCTATATTTTCTAAATCTACATCATCATTTAAGTTCTCCTCAATATCACTTACATCACAATCGTCTTCACTATCATTCCAATTGTCGACTATTTCTTGCAATTCTTTATCTGATAGAGGCTTTTTCATATACCAGTTAGACATCTAGAATAATATCAAAATTACATTCTGTATCATAAATGATACAAACAAATTATTTACCGTACCTCATAAAATAATGGTATATGCTCGATAAAACTAATACTATAAAATAGATGACTTCTGGATGTATAATAAACAGTAAACACAATTTTGCACACTCAATTTTCATTAATAATCACCTATTATAATGTTGCCAAACTCAGCGCTATGGTCAACACGACCGATAAGTGATAACTGACCAATTCGCGTGATTTATAAAATATTAGACGACGTTTCAAGGTTACAAAATGTGTGTATCTAATAGAGTGGTATATATCGAATATGTTACATAGTGCTGTTTGGATTTAATTTTATTTCACTGTGTTTACCGTGTAAATTCTCGGTATGTTTCATATATGATACAATAAGCAGTGTAGGGTTAAAGATTTTGAATGGTTTTTTCGCCCACAAGAACATACATAAATACACCTGGTATCAGCACACAAGAGGTCTAAAATCGATAATAGATTATTTCATAACAAGGCAACAAACTAAGTTAAGAGTACAGGACGTAAAGGTGACTAGAGGAGAAGAGTGCGGCTCGGACCACTGCCTGATAATAGGAAAAATATAGACACCATTCGTAGACAGGAACCACACAGACATCTACAAAGAACACAGAGAAAAAATAGAAAAAACCACGTACACGTTAGACCATCTAGATAACGAGAGCACACAGTTACTTTACTGATGGAGACTAACACAAAAACTACAGGAATCACACAGATTAACGACTGATGAATACGAACATATAAAAAACTGCATGAAAGACGCAGCGCTAGAAACTTTAGGACCACAGGTACGGAGAGTAGATAAACCATGTTGGTGGGATAAAGAAGTGGAAGAAAAGATAAGAACAAAAAAGGAAGTATATCAAAAGTTATTACAACATGGAGACGAAGAAACAAAACAACAATATAAAAACTTGAATAAAGAAGTCAAACGAGAAGTGGTTAAAAAGAAAAATAGTACATGGGAACAAAAATGCCAATATCTAGACAACCATATAGGAGGAACAAAGAGCTCTGAAGCCTACTACAGGAATCACACAGATCAACGACGGATGCATACGAACATATAAAAAATTGCATGAAAGACGCAGCGCTAGAAGCCTTAGGACCACAGGTACGGAGAGTAGATAAACCATATTGGTGGGATAAAGAAGTGGAAGAAAAGATAAAAACAAAGAAGGAAGTATATCAAAAGTTATTACAAAAGGGAGACGAACAAACTAAACAACAATATAAAAACTTGAATAAAGAAGTCAAACGAGAAGTGGTTCAAAAGAAAAATAATGCATGAGAACAAAAATGCCAATGCCTAGATAACCATATAGGAGGAACAAAGAGCTCTGAAGCCTGGAAAACTATAAAAACGATGAGAACAACGCCAAAAAACCAAGTCATAATAAATAGAATACCAGAGAACACATGGGTAGAGCATTTTAAAAACTTATTAATAGAGAGAAGAGAAAGGTTTAAACAGACAAATGAACAAGTGGGAGTAGAAGGAAGAATAGAAATATCAATAGAACAAGTGAAAGAATGGTATGGAAGCATTAGGACAATGAAACATCGAAATTATGCGATTATATGCGATACGTAAAGCAATTATGCGAATAGCCTTGAAAAACAAATGGACAAAACAGTTACAGCGACAGCTTAATCTTTATTAGGAAAAAGTAGGAAAAGAAAAAGACAGAAAAAGCGAGATATGGTCCAATACGAAACAACAGAAAGTAAAGAAAACTATACGTAGGAGATACATACATTTTGTAAGATAGAGAACACAGCAACAATTTGCCTACTCGAATAATAAACTTGATATCTGTATAATTGTATTATTTTACCTTGACATTTAAAAAAGTGGCTGTATCTTCTACATTATTGATTTTACAAACAAATACCAAAAGGCAAAAAAATTTTAAAATATAAATTTAATTCTATTGACTTCCCATTTTAGGAAGGAAGGTTTGGAGACCTCTCTAAAATCTAAAAAAATCGAGAAACAATTTTTCCGCTATTTAGGTTGTATAGTCGGTTCGCTATATTTACGCGGGTTTCGGATTAAAAATTTTATTGTAAGTACCCAGTTTTAATTACCTGCTCTTTGGGGAAATATCAGCTGGTCAAATAAAATGAAAAATAATCCATAACTTTTTTTAATTAAATAATAATGGAAAATCTTTTATATAATTGACAGTATAATAAGGAGAATTACTTCATTAATGAAGTCTAATGTGGCTAATATAAACCTAATAATAATTTTATATAACACTTCACACAGAAAATATGGTCTATGTATATTTGTTCCATGGAGATAATTTCTAACGAAAAATAAAAAAATTTAACTTGCCAACAAAAATGAAAATCAGTCATTATCATCAAAAATATCATAATCGTCATCATCATCACTGTCATCACCATTAATTGTTATTATGATTGGACTTATTTCGTGTATTTTATTTTTACGAGTCCACCAATCTTCTATTAGTTTCTCGCACTTGAATATACAGTTGCACCACACTTCTGGAGTTACAATTGAAAGTGCCTTTCGCCAAGTTTCCCGAACTGCGTCGTCGCTATAACCGTTAGGCCCAATATGGTTGTCATAATATTGTTTTGCTATTCCCCATATATATTCGATGGGATTAAACTGGCAATGATACGGTGGCAGACGTAAAACTTGATGACCGTAACTTTCAATAATCTGATCAACAACAAAGGTTTTTGGTTTTGCGTGGATATTTGCCAAGCGTAATAATTCTGATTTTAAAATATGTTGTGTAAATGGTATATGTTCCTTTGTCAACCGTTCTTTAATTTTATTAACAGTCCAAGAATTCGTTGGACTTTTGTTTAATACTTCAGAATGGTAAGGTGCATTGTCTAAAATAATTACGCTGGGTTCACTTAAACCTTGGAGAAGTTTTTCATGTAACCATTTTACAAACATTTCTGTGTTCATATTATCGTGATAGTCACTTGATTTTGATTTAGATGAAAATATTAAATCAGCACCTTCTATAAAACCCGATTTCCCTCCTGCATGTAAAATTATGTGTCGCTTCCCTTCTCCATCAGTATGTTTGATAGACTTTACGTTATCATCTTGCCATATTCTCTTGGTTGCATCCCTAGAAAATATCCATGTTTCGTCTAAATATATAAAATTTGCCCTTTCTTCTTTTAATTTAGAATATTTTCTTAAAAAGTTAATTCTTTTATGCACATCAGAACTTCTTTCACAAAGGGCTTTTCTGTTATCCTCCTTTTGAAATTTGAAACCCAAATTATGTATCACTTGCCATAGACTTGTTCTGCCAATTTCGTCAAATTTTCTATCTTTTAATTCCGAGAGAATTGTATTTAAGGTCACATGTTCCTTGTTGGTTCGCATTCGATAAATGGTATCACGAATTTCAATTTTTTTTCCATCTGGAATATCTTTCGTTTTCAATGATAGGCGAGTTTTTCGATAATCTTCTTTCGGCCGTTTATTATTGCGATTTTGTAATACTCCTCTTAGTTTGGTTTCACTAATTCGTAGAGCATCACATACGCGTTGTTGAACAGACATTACCGATTTTAAAGGACCGCCATTTTCTTTTTCATTCGTAAAATACTTATTTACATTACAAATTAGACTATCTACATCTAACACACGTCTAGGCATTTTTAAATATTTCCACCAAACATACAATGTCAACACTGGCAAAGAATCAATTCAACTGCAATATTGTAACAAATTTATACCTACCCTAATGTTATTTTAATGTATTTTAAAATATGACCATATTTTACCTAATTTTCTGGGAAGTCGTTTACTGCAACTGGTTATCAATGAGTCATTAGCATAATTTTGTTAATTCGAAACCCGCGTAAATATAGCGAACCGACTATATTGGCCATGGCATGCTAATACATAATATAAATTTTCATAAAAAATTTTTAAACCATTTTGCAGCAATATTAGAAAAAAAAACGGTTTTATTTTTTAACTTTTAACACTCCGTAACTTTTTCTGGATTTACTTTTGCTTATAGCTAAATTAGGCCAAATTGACTTATTTTCATCGCTAAAAATCATGGTATAATTTATGACCAATCTTTTTGGGGACACCCTATACACAAGTTTATAAATCGTGCAAACGTATAAAAAGTGAATTTTATTCGCGAATATCTATTAACTGAAATTCTCTTATCATAACTACATAAACGTTGTATTTCCACTATCGTAATTCGCTCCTTTAAATGCAAATAATAACAAAAATCAGAAATACCGCGTTTATCACTGATGAGAGAGCATCTTCCTACCACGTTCGAAGAATCATTATTTTCCGAATCCCGTTTTTGTTTATAAAACCTTAAACAACAATAGTCCTTGTTTAAATAGCCAAGTTTGCAAACAGAAGGGCAGTGGGGCCGCGCTATATAAAAATAAAAAAATATCGTTAATTAGTTATATTGTTAGAGCCTTTTTATTGTTAAGTGAGTGATAACTAAACTGCAACGATGACTACACAAAGTAAGTTATTAATAGTGTCCTTTATAATAACTATATGAAATATTTATAGTAATAATATTTCATTGTGTTCAATACATTTATTTAAACATACTTTTAACAAAATGTCTGCACAATAGAATCCACAATATCCAAAATCATATGTTCTAACAATGATGCCTCTGACAAGTAGTGACAACTGACAACGAGTCCCTATCCATTCTACCTAGAGCCGCGTGACCATAATCATAACCTACTGATATGACATCTTTCCCCTTTTTTACATTGACAGTCATTAAAACGCACCGGAGCCCTTTTGAGTCTAGCGATTGTTCTATTTTCAGTATTTTCAGCATTCATCTGGGAGGTTAAAGGTTCCTCTACTTCACAACTCTAATTTCCAAATGAGGAGTTCAATGGTCTATCATTATGTGCAAAATTAGTATTATCTTTAATTACCGCTTTAACTAGGGAAGGCTTCAAGTGACAACTGTTCCGCCTGACCACTTCCCCATTTTTTTTCTGCCCTTTTCTGCTCTCCTGGCACTATGTTCCTTCTTACCTTGGTGGTTCTATCATAATAATTTTTATATTCGTTTCTTTTTGCCTCTAGTTTCTCCCACTCTTCCTTTAGATTTATGTCTTTGTGCTTTTTATTTGATGGTAGTTTCGATCTAAGAACCCTTTTAGTCACTAATTGGACTGGAGTTTTATCTGTTTTATTTATTGGAGTATTGCGATACTCTAGGAGTGCTATATCTAAGTCTTCATACTTTTTAAGCATATTTTTAGCAATTTGAACGGCTCGTTCTGCCTGCCCATTAGACCATAGATAGCGGAGATTTTACGTTACAAACCGACAATCTCAGTCTTTATCAAATTTCTGACAATGCCACGAATTATAAGGCATGTTATCTGATATGATTTCGTAGGGTATTCCGTGTGTTTAAAAAATTTTCTTTAATTCCTTGATGACCACCTGAGAAGTTTTTGAAATAACTTTCACTATATCGAGCCATTAAGAAAAATAATCGATCAGAACTAGATATGACTGTCCACCATAATCTAATATAACAGTTGCTACCTTTTCAAAAGGTGTTTGAGGCAACTCTCTAAGTAATAGTGGTTCTTTAGCATTGTGACTTCTAAATTTCTCACACTTGCTACAATTTCTTACCCAATCTTCTATACTTTTGTTCATATGTGGCCAATGTAATATCTGTCTTGCTCTCTGTTGGGTTTTCTAAATGCCAAAATAACTCGAACGCAATAATCTTAGCATGCTCGCTCTCAATATTTTTGGGACTATAAACCTGTCTTTGTAAAATATTAGTCCTTTAAGTAAAATATTAGTCCTTCAAGTAAATATACTTCATTTCTTATATAATAATATTACCTAATTGAATCGCTTACTCTTGACAATGTTTTGGGTCACCCTTGTATACAATATTTTTTTACTAGTTTCAGATCCTCATCAGCATCCATTTCACTCCTAAATTGCTCTCTCTTCTCATCAGTCATGTGAATAGTGTGAACTATTTCTGTAACAAATTTATCATCATCCATTTCATCTTTTATGGAATTCCTCGATAATAAATCTGCCACATACATCAACTTGGCTGGCTTAAATTTTACCTCTATGTCATATTTAGATAATCTTAACCTAATTCTTTGTAATCTCGGCGACATTAAGTCCGCATTAATGCCTCCAAAGGCTTATGGTCAGAATCAATTTGCACTTTTCTTCCGTAGATAAAATTGTGAAATTTATTGCATGCATATAGGATTACCAAGAACTTCTTTTCAATTTGTTACGTCCAGTCACCGCTATCCACGATCTAATGGGCAGGCAGAACGAGCCGTTCAAATTGCAAAAATATGCTTAGAAAGATGTTACCGAGATATACACCAATCTTTCGACATCCTCTTGTCTCCTACAGACCTTCCGAGGTCTCAGTCCTGCGAGTCCTTAGACACTACTACATTGATCATTTATCAAAGCATTACTGGTAATCACTCAAGCTTTTATTTCTCCAGCTTCGTACAGAGTTGGCGCTATCCGAACTCTGAACCTCCTTTGGGCTAGGTATGACGAGAGAAGTATAAGTTCGGATCTGAATCCGAACTGTGCTTCAGGTATTGTTCCGATTTCTTCTGATTCTAGTTTGAGCCATGCACTGTAATTTTATGGAAATTTGCCATTTTTCTTAGGTTTTTTGATCATTATTAATCTGTCAGGAAAATGTCGTAATCTTAGGATGTGGTTGATTAAATTTGTTATGTATACTATTGCTTTTGCTGGCAGATTCTTCAAAGCTCTATTCGTAATATGGTCCGTTTTCGGAGCTTTATTGGCGTTAGTACGTTTGATCAACTGTCTGACTTCTTGAAGGGAGGTATGGGTAGTATCTATGTTGCCCCTTCTCATTTTTATTTTCCTGTATCTTTTTTCCACTTCTCCTGTGAAGTCGAGATTTTCAACGCGATGATAATTTTTTCTACATCCTCTTACTAGCGTGTTTTCACAACTTATGCTTTGTCTTCATCTGCGAACACAATTCCATTTTTTCCATGTAAAGGTGAAACTGGTTTTTTATCTTTCTTACTATTTGAGATATCTTCCAGAACGCAGATTTATTTGGGTTTAGTTGCTGGATATAACAATCCCATTTTAATCATCTAATAAGACAGATAAACTTAAATTATTAACATTTTTTTATTATACCAAGTAACAAAACAAAATAACTTTTGTTTACCTTAAGTACCTCGACCACTATGGGTATTTGTACCAAAATAATTTGATTAATTTGTATTTTAAGAAAGAGATAGAATTTCCATTAAAGATATAAATAATATATTTGATCAGAGTTTAACAATAAACGTGATTGATAGAAAATTAAATTATTATGCTGAACTTGAACTATATTTATTAAATGTGTTTCATAAACAATGAGTTTTTTAACTACAAGTGTTACATCCTAATGCAGATGGAATATACTTTTATCATAAGTGTCTATTCACTAATAAGATTATTCTGTTTTTTGAGATAACTCTATGGAAATCCACTTTTGGTTTTTTAGGACCTTCTTATCATTGTTTGTATGTCCATGTCAGTATTTCCAAACCATGATAAAAGATATAGTCTCTGCACTTCACTGTAAATATTTTGCATTTCAAATATTGTGTGGCCCAAATACATGTTTTAACTATTATGTTAATGAATTGAAAGTGGTAAAGGGTACCACCATTAAGATAGGCAAATTGCCCTCAAAAGCTTAGCACAGTTTTAGCCCAACACCCCCCCCCCTCACACCTCACCGCTAAAAGCGACAATTTTTTAGGTGGGATCGGTCACTGTGGGTGCAATCAATTCAAAATTTTTTAAAAATTCACAGGTAGGGATCTATGGAGAAGTATCACCGAGCCGCAAGCCCTTATCTCTTGCCGTACTGCTCCACCATAGGCCGATCAGACACCATCATATTCTAGTTTAAGCCGAAGATTCATTTAGAATTTTAAACTGCTGTGTTAGCTTTTTTGTTTTCTATACACCGAGCTGGGGATTGAACTCACATCCGCTAAACCACTCGCAGTGAAGCGCATTTTTTTTTTTTTGAAAAACTATATAACTTTTTTTGGAGGTAGCTGCAGGTCCAATTTTTTTTGTTTTGTGTATTTGACTAAAAACTATACTTTTAATATATTTCCGATTTTTCCGATCTTCTACCTCGTGGTCCCTGTTGAGGGCAGATATTTGTAATGACGAAGTTATTTTCTTAGCAAAGTTCGTTTAGACGTTTATCTCTTTGATTTCTCTATCCCAAACCAAAGTTCTCGGTGATTTTTTGAGTTATCTTCTATCTATTTTAGCGTTAACGTCTTCCATAACTATTAATGTTTTGTGCTTCTTTGTTATTTTTAGTACTTCTATTTTCTGCTTATCTACTCATGTGAAATCAGCTTACTATACTCTATAGTTGGGCTATTAAAAGAACGATCAAATAGTTCTTGTTAAATAGAATCGATTTGACCTTATGTTTTAATGTTTGTTGTTTATTTTGGAGCAAGGACTTTTGTGCTTGCTGTTGACGATATGTCTTTCACAAAAAATTTCCGGCGCTGGATCACCGTCGTTATCGAATAAATTTCGGATATGGTACCAATTTAAACAACTGGATTTCGAGTATAAAAGTGCTGCGGAAAGGAAAGCAGATATAAATGCTGGCGTCTTTATTCCAGGAAAACCAGCTCCGATTGACACCGATGTCTACTACCCAGGTAAGAACATATACCATTTCTGATTTCATAAGAAGAGTCATTTTCTTTTTATTCTTATTCACAATTCTTAATTTAGAAATATTGGTCAATATAAGTTGTAAGAGATTTTAATAACTTAACAATACAATCATGGAAAAGAAAGTGCGAAGAAATGGGTATAACAGTAAGGAACGAATATCTATATACGCTAAGTTTTGTTGACGACCAAATAGTTATCGCACAAGACGAGGATGACCTTAGTTTTATGATGAGAAAACTGGAGCAGGAATATACAAAGAATGGGATGGAAATAAACCTAAAGAAAACTGAATACCTAACAACGGAGAATACAGAAATAAAACAGCTGGAAATAGACGAAGGTAAACAAATCAAATGAACTGACAAGTATAAGTATTAAGATTTCATAATATCAAACAAAGGAACAACGGAGGAAGATATAAAAAATAGACTAGGAGAAACAAGAGACTGCATAAGAAAACCAAAAACAAAATAAGAGCAACAGAGATGGAATTCCTAAGGAGAAGCTGCAGAGTAACAAGAAGGATAGAATAAATAACATGGAGATTAAGAGAAGAAGGTTAATGAACTCCGACATATTATTTATTTATTAACGGATATACCATTTTTACATTGGAACAACATATATATATAAAATTTTACAAAGTAAGCACAACATTGGAAAATAATAGTAAAGTTTAACAAAATTAATAATTAACTTGAATACAAACTAATATCAAAAACTAATAATTAACTTCAATACAAACTAATATTACACAAATAGCAGTCTCTTTATCACATTTTTAAATTGTTCTAAGGACTGGAAAAATAATACACATAATAGACTACATCGAACAGAAGAGGTTAACCTGGTACGGACATGTCAGAAGAGGAGACCAAAATCGGTGGATAAATAGAATAACAGAGTGGAGCCCGATAGGAAGAAGAAAGAGAGGCAGACCCCGAAGATCTTTCAGAGATGAAGTTGACGAAGCAATGAGAAGAAGAAACCTACAGGAAGGGGACTGGCTAAACAGGAAAAATTGGAGAAATCGGTTGAGTGAAGGAATACAGTGAAAACTGTGGAAATCCTTGTATATATATATATATATATATATATATATATATATATATATATATATATATATATATATAACAATAAAATCAGGAAGAAATACAAAATGAAGAAGTTTGAGAATGTCACAATACAATTTTTTAATTTTAATATTGGATTTATGTGCAGCTATCTGCGATAAAAATAAAATATCAGTTTTTAATAGCAAGTCAAATAACAGACACAATTTTAAAACTTCCAAAACGTCGTCTTTACACCTGGAAATCACCAGCAGATACACCTGAACGAGTTGTTTGTAACCAAATAGACTTCATATGTATAAATAAGAGATACAGAAATTCTGTATTAGCAGTAAAAACATATCCAGGCGCAGATGTACCAATAGATCACAATATTTTAGTAGGAAAAATAAGACTGAGATTAAAAATACTTGCAAGGACGAATAAGCAAACAGTTACTATTGATAGAGAAAAAATGTTAAATGATACTGTAAAACAAGAAATAACTAGTATATTAAAACAAAAACTAAAGTTAACATCAAGCAAAGAGCAAAGTACTGAGGAAAACTGGAAGAGAATTAAAGACACCTTAAAGACTGTTCAAGAAACAAAATTGAGTGCGCTAAAAGCAAGAAAAAAACAAGGGTGGATGACAGAAGAAATACTGAGACTTATGGATCAAAGAAGAGAAGTCAGAAATAAAGATAAAAACGAATTCAAGAGGATCCACGTAATAAACAGGCAGAAGATAAGACACGCGAAAACACAATTGCATAGTAAAGAATGTAATGAAATTGAACAATATGAAAAGAAACACGATACATTTCATCTGCACAAGAAAGTAAAAGAGGTCGCTGGAAACAAACGGAACCAAGTATCCCAAAGTTTAGAAGATAGAAACGGACACAGAATATTAGACATCAATGAACAGTTAAAAGAATGGGAAAACTACATTTCTGAATTATTTGAAGATGAGAGAGTAGAACACTATACACCGATTGCTATATCAGGTCCATCTGTAACAGAAAGTGAGGTTACACGTTCAATACAAACGACAAAAAATGAAAAAGCACTTGGCCCTGATGAAGTAAGTGCTGAAAGTTTTTGGAAGAAAATGGAATTAAAGCTCGGTGTAATCTTTTTAACAGAATTTATGACACTGGTATATTACCAACTGATTGGTTAAAGTCGACATTTGTCACAATACCTAGGAAACATCGTCCAAAGACATGCGGTGATTATCGGACAATAAGTCTGATGAGTCACATTTTGAAGATCTTCCTGCGAGTAATATACAGCAGAATTTACACGCTGTTAGAAGACAGAATTAACAATTCTCAATTTGGGTTTAGGAGTGGCTCGGGTACAAGAGAAGCCTTGTTTAGTATATAAATCAAAATGTGTACATTTGTGCAATCGATTTTGAAAAGGCTTTTGACAAAGTCCGACATAACAAAATGCTAGAAATATTGAAAACAGCTGAATTGGACGATAAAAATCTACGAATAATTACAAATCTATACTGGCATCAAGTGGCAAGAATAAAGGTTAAACAAAGAACTGTCGGATAAAATAAATATAAAAAGAGGAGTGAGACAAGGCTGTATATTATCGCCTTTACTTTTTAACTTATATTCGGACGAAATATTTAAGGAAGCCTTAATGGAGACAACCGAAGGTATTATTGTGAATGGAGTAACCGTCAACAATATTAGATATGCCGACGATACCTTAGTGCTTGCTAATTGCCGAGAAGACTTTCAAAATCTAATGAACAAAATAAAACAGACTTGTGATTAGTATGGATTAAAACTTAAGTTAAGAAAACTAAAAACATGATAGTTAGCAAACAAAATTATATACAGGATGACGGTATAAAAGTCGGAGATGCCACACTGGACAGAGTCGAGAAACTCGTGTATCTCGGCAGTAATATCAATGAGAGTTGGGATCCAACCGCATAAATTAAACTACTGTATGGTGTGGAAGCGTGGACTCTAATTGAGGCTATCCTTAAACGATTGACAGCCTTTGAGATGTGGGTATACAGACGACTACTGAAAATAAGCTGGGTCAACAGAGTTAGAAATGAAAAGGTCCTTAGACGGCTGAACCACACAACCTTGAACACAACTGGTCAATATAATAAAGAAACGCAAGCTGGAATACCTCGGGCATATTATGAGACACCCTGAAAAATATAATCTTTTACATCATTCGGGGAAAGATCCAAGGTAATCGTGATCCTGGTGGAAGAAGAACATCATGGCTGAAAAATCTAAGGCAATGGTATGAAAAATCAACTACATTGTTATTTAGAGCTGCTGTCAATAAAGTCACGATAGCAAATATGGTAGCCAACATGATATCCAACGATCGATAACGGTCATGGAACTAGAAGAAGAAGATAGCGAATCATTAGAAGAACTGAACGCAACTTATTAAATAATTAAAATATTGAACTGCGTGCTAGGAAAAAAAATGACGACTTGAAAATTCAGAGAAGATATTAGAACTATCAATGGAAAATGGCTTATAAAGATCTTTAGAAAACGCAAATTTGTATTAGTTTGTACGTATTTTTAACAGGATGACATTCATAAATATAAATGAATATTATCGAAAAAACAACGGAAATAATAATAAACTTAATCATGATACAACAAAAGCGAAACCTATTTGTTAAAGATATAGTTGATTAAACAAAACCAGAATGTGGATTTAACAAACATCTCTGTGAAGACATCATTTTTTTATTTTCAGCGAGAGAAAATCCTGTAGTATTTGTTACGATCCCAAGATTCCAAGATGGTATTCCTGCTACGTTGGGCACCATCGTTCTTGATAAAAATGGAAATCCAATTATTAGACCCTACCCTGATTGGAGTTGGCATAAAAAGCCAAAAGATTGTAACCCATCAAGAATTGTGTCTGTATACAGAGTAATGGTGAGTATGCAGTAATAAGTTTGGTATATTAGAGTCCCTTGTCTTTATTAATCGTAACTAGTTTCTTTCACTTTTTCCTATCCTTCACTTGTTCTCTCCAGTCGCTTGTTCCTATTTCTTTTGTCATTTCGAACGGCATCAAACCCCTTCCTTACTGGTCTTCTTCTTCTTTTCTTCCTATATTCCCCTGCTTGTAGAAATATTAGAACGTTTCTTTTATCTGGCATTCGTAAAGTATGTCCTAACCATCTAACTTCCTATGTCCTGTATTGTATTGGATCTCTTATAATCTCAATTAACTCCTGGTTATTCTTCTGCACTATGCTTCGTTAGATACTGTACACCTACCACCAAAAGCTTTTTTTAGTGTGAGCGATTGGTAGGTGAAGGATATTTGTGGTTGCGTCTTGACAGATACCGCAGTGTCGACAAACTTGTGCAGGATCGCGAAAAAGTAACCAGAATGATTGTCAACAGGACACTTAAAAAAGAAAAAGGATATTGTTTTGAAGCTATTTTCTTGTGGCATTGTAAATTAATTACTATTTAACTGGGAATAAGCCACAATTAAAGATAAAAATACGTTTATTGACGTTTCAATATAGAACAAGACTAAACATATCGGCTATAATGGAGTTATTAACATTATGTACTGATAATACATATTTTCAACTTAATAATAAATTCTATAAACAAAATTTTGGTCTAGCAATGGGCTCTAGTTTATCTCCATTCTTAGCCGATATATTTATGGAAGATTTTGAAACAAATATCATTTCTAAACAAAATTTCTAACCCACAGTATGGTGGAGGTATGTAGATGATGTATTCTTAATATGGCCTCATGGATCAGAGTTGTTGGATACATTCCTAAATGATATAAACGATAAAGAAGAGACAATAACATTTACCATGGAAAAGGAATATAATAACACGCTACCTTTCCTGGATGTTTTAATCTCTAAGAACGATACTGGACATAAGACTCAGGTGTAAGAAAACCAACACACACCAATAGATATTTAAATTTCAAATCAAATCACAATATTAATGTAAAAAAGGGAATAATTAAATCCTTATACGATAGAGCCAAAATTACTTGTTCTAACGAAAATTCGTTCTTGGAGGAGAAACATTTGTTAACATCTGTTATTAAAAAATGGTTATCCTTTATCATTTATAAATAAGGAATTTTCAACAATCGATCGAATAGAACAGAACAACTTAGAACGAGATCCTACAGCATACACAAGGAATAATATGAGGAAAATAACAATACCGTACATAAAAAGGATTATCAGAAAAACTTAAAAGGATAGGAAATAAATTCAACATTTCAACATTCAAAACAACAAACACGTTGAGATCTATTTTGTCCAAAACCAAACCTAACAATAAACAAGAAAGGACAAAGAATTGCATTTATAAAATACCTTGTGAATGCGATTAGTTTTATTTAGGTGAATCATCAAGGCCATTAAATGTTAGAATAAGTGAACATCAATTTTATATTAAAAATAGCGAATTTGATAGAGCTCAAATATATAAACACGCATGGGATAATGAACATAGGGTTCAATGGAATAATTCAAATGTAGTCCTAAAAGAAACGGATGGCAAAAAAAGAAAAATCAAAGAAGCGGCTCTAATTATGCTAAATGAGGCCAATTGTGTCGCAAATTCCTCGGCAGAATGTAGTAGGATCTGGTTACCAATATTGAAAGAGGAAGTTATTAATAAGAAAATACTAGTATTAGTAAGTCAGTAACATATAAAGGATACATCATTTATGTTTTTTTAAATAACGTAACATATAAAATCAGAATTTTGATGTTTGTTGAAGGTAAACTAAATTCACGAAGAAATACTTACAATGTCGGGATAGTATTATGAGGTTTTTTCCTGGTTTTTCCCTCATAATTTACTATGGAATCACTAACAGGAGAATTTTACTGTCATCATGTCATGTGTTTGTCTTTTTAAAGACGAATTACATGCTATGATTTTTTTTCTAAGGGGTATTCTCAAGTTAAAGTTGATTTAAAGTAATCGAATGAACTATCTTATAAGTAAAGTCGTCCCAGGAGCGCAACGTAACAATATTGGCAATATCATTTTAAAGTCGTCTACTTTAAAATGCATAATGTATGTCTGAATTGTCAATATGAATGAGTCAGATAAAATTAAATTATTAGAAGAATTTTTCACTATGTAACAAAAAACAAAATTTGTTTAATTTACTGTTTGTATTTTGAGAACGATTTCCGAAGTGGAAATTGAAACGTCAATAAACGTATTTTTATCTTTAATTGTGGCTTATTCCCAGTTAAATAGTAATTAAGAAAAAGGATATTTTCACACTTTCTGTCTGTTATGTCTGTTATGTTTACTATTTAACCTGACTGTATAAATAATGAGATGCATATTCTTATTTTTTTAGATCGACGAATGTAATAGACTTTGGGTTTTGGACAGTGGAAAATTAGGAGATCAAGTCGATTGTAATCCTCAACTTTTGGCTTTTGATTTAAGGACAGTAAGTAATAAAGATTATTTTAGGGCAATACACTATTTGGTAAACATCCTATAAATAGATAAACTTTCAAATAATGAAAACGTAACAGTCTTTTGTATTTTTGCTATTGTTAAGAATAATCTATAATCCAAAAATGAATCGCAAAATGTGCATAACTCAACAACGCATGGACCAATTTTAACAATTCTTTTTTAAAATGTTCCTTGAAGTCTAAGGATGGTTTTTACGGCATGAAAAATTCGAATAATTTCCGGGAAAAAGCCAAAGTTCGTCGAGGCGAAGAAACTTAGGTCACCCGAGCTGAACCTCACACACCGCCCTATCATCATGGTGACTGCCACATTCCAAATTTATTTGATAGAACGAAGTCTGTCGGGTCTACTAGTACAATAATAAAGATACAGTGTTCTTAATGCCACAATTGAGTAGCTTTGAGGATATTTTAAAATATTATTAAATAGAAACAAAAACTGGAATTACAATTAATCTTGTGTGATAATGAGAATCACTTTTACTTTTCAACTGGAATATCTGGGCAGAGTAAATAATTAAAATGAGGTGTTCAAAATTAAAGAATGTTTATAAATAAAAAATGTTTGCAAATTAAACCCAAAAATTAGCATTTTATTTAATTATTTATAAATTATTAAAATAAACAAAGAGACTATTGAAAACAATTTTATAATATCGCTCACTAAGTTCTATAGTGTCACATTTCAAGAAAATGTTGTTTTGTAATAATCACTCCTTAAAAATCACAAAATTTCACTGTATATTTGAAAGAAACTGGCACAAAGATTCTATCCTGACAGCTTCTATCCTGTAGATAGCGTTGTTTTTTTTTGAACCTATTCTCTATCCTTCCATTGTTGGATATAGGTCTCCCCCAGTTCTCTCCATCTTTCCCTATCTTGAGCTGTTCTCTGCCATGTGGGACCTCCTTGTTTCCTGATGTCATCTTTCCACCTCATCTGTGGTCTGCCTCTGGATCTCTTTGCATTGTATGGACGCCACTTTCCGATGGCATTGTTCCGTCTTGGAGACGTTCATTGTGTCCAGCCCATTTCCATTTCAGTTTTGCTGCTTGTTCTATCGCGTCTACTGTCTTTGTTCTGGTTCTGATCCACTGGTTACGTTTTCTATCCCTAAGTGATACACCCAACATTTGTCTTTTCATCGCTCTTTGTGCCTTCCTTATCCTATCCAAATTGGCCTGTGTAAATGTCCATGTCTGTGCTCCGTAGGTGAGCACCGGTATGATACAGGAGTTATATACCTTGCTTCGTAAGTATATTTACATTCTTACTCGTTTCGATATTTCGGCTGTTTGATTTTCTCTATTAGCTCTGATTGCTTGTCCTAGATAGATATACTCATTTACCTGTTCTATTTTTTCTGTTTTTATTTTTATTGCCTCTTGGTCTTCCGTGTTTGTCATTACTTTTGTTTTGTTGAAGTTAATTTTTAGGCCTTTTTGCAGTGATTTTTCATGAAGTTCATTCAGCATTAATTCCAGTTCTTGTCGTTCCGAGGAGATCAGGAGTATATCATCCGCATATCTAAGGTGATTTAGGTATTTTCCGTTAATACATATTCCTCTGTTTTCCCAATCTGTTGATTTTATTATGTCTTCGAGGGTCAAGGTAAACAGTTTAGGTGAAATTATATCGCCTTGTCGGACTCCTCGTTTAACTTTTATATTATCCGTTATTAATTTGTCGTCCAGAATTACGGTCATGGTTGCGTTTTGGTAAATATCATGTATCAATTGTCGGTATCTTGAATCTATTCTACTATTGACCAGAGCTTCTTCAACCGCCCAGTGTTCAATGCTGTCGAAAGCCTTTTCATAATCTACGAATGCTAAGTACAGTACAGTACTTAGATAGCGTTGTACTACGTGCTTATTTCGCTGAAGAGGCAGCACTATACTGGCACATATTTAGTATGCCTGTGTGTTTGTGTTGCTTTTACGTGGAAAACCGGCACATTTTTAATTGTGAGTGTGCTATTAATCCAAGTAAGTAAATTTTGTTAAAGCAATACTTACATATTTTTAAGTTAGGCCAGTGCCACTTAAAAGTTTGAATATTTTTCGATTGTTTTAGTAAATATTGGCACAACTAAAGTTATGCCACTTTAAGAACTTTTATAAATTTCATTAAAAATATCTTATTTTTTAGTCTATACCGGCACATTAAAAATTGTGCCACTATGAAACTATTGGCACAACTAAAGTTATGCCACTTTAAGAACTTTTATAAATTGCATTAAAAATATCTTATTTTTTAGTCTATACCGGCACATTAAAAATTGTGCCACTATGAAACTTTTTTTACAAAAACATATTATATTATGTCCCCAAAATATAAGGTTATGTCGGTATAGAATTTAATTTACTTGAAATACACTTTATGTCATGAAAGAACAAAGTTGTGTCAGTATCGGTCTATTTTTTCTTATATTTCGCTTAAATGAGTCTATTTTCGGAATTACTTTTATACAATATTAGGTTCCGTAGTTGTGTTTGATACCTAGGTACTAACTTGATTATTGTAAAACGAAAACAAATAGAACAAAATCCAAGAAAAACGTATAAAAACTGTTTATAATATATTAGATAATAATAGTTTTATAAATTGTTCACTTTATAACAATTATAAGTTTACTTATAGATTACAGACAAGTAGCCCGAAAGGAAATTGCTAGAAAGTCATGAGAATGATACAATAATAATGGAAGTATACAATATCAATTATGATATCATAAAAAACTAAAATGCAAAAAAATATTGTCTTAACATTAATCAAACTTTTGTCTTTTGCTTCTAGAATCGACTTATTAGTAAATACGAAATACCAAAGGACCAATGGACCATAAATTCAACATTTGTAACACCTATCGTTGATATTATAAGTAGAGAAAATTTTTGCGAAGATACATACGTATATATGGCTGATTGTATCTGGGATAACCCGTCCATCGTAGTATATAACCATCTTAACCGGGATTCGTGGATAGTTCAAGATGAAACTATGAAACCTGATCCAAAATTTGAAAAGTTTACGATTGACGGTAAATAGTTTTGTATATTTTAATTCTTCTTCTTCTTCTTCTACGGCACTACAGCCCAAAATGAGCCTTGGCCTCCTTTATTTTTTGCCTCCACCCTTGTCTGTCTGTGGCTGCTCTTCTCCATACACGGACTCCTAAAAGTGCTTGTGCGTCGCTGCTTACTGTGTCTTCCCAGCGCTTTCTTGGCTTTCCAACTGGTCTCTTTCCCTGCATTCTGGCGTTCAGTGCTCGTTTTGGTAGCCTATCCTCTCCCATTCGTATCACATGTCCGGCCCATTGCAATCTTTGTATTCTAATAAAGTTTGACAGGGGTGTTTCCTCATACAGTTGATAGAGCTCGTTGTTATATCGAATTCTGAAGATTCCGTTTTCCCTCACAGGTCCTAGTATTCTCCTCAGTACTTTTCTTTCGAATGTGTCGAGTTTGTTTTTGGATGTTTCTTTCAGGACCCATGCTTCGCTGCCATAACATGCTATTGGCCGAATTAAAGTTTTACATATTCTCATCTTTGTATTTCGGTGGACACTTTTAGACCGAAATATATGGGAGAGGGCAAAATAAGCTTTGTTTGCCTGCGTTATCCTTTTTCGTATTTCTCCATCCTCTGCTTCATCGGCATATATTTCTACTCCCAGGTATGTAAACTTTCCAACCGTTTCAATGTCATTGTTTTTTCTGTGTTAATTTCCAGACCTAGCCTTTTCGTTTGTGTTTTTAACTCTGCGTATGCTTCCTGTGCTCCTGTTGATGTTCTACTCATAATAATAATATCATCGGCATAGGCAGCCAGTTGAACCGTTTTATTGGTCAGTAGGTTTTCTCGTCCAGTTTGCATTTGCCTGACCGCATACTCCAGTGCCAGGTTAAACAATGTTGGTGCCAGCCCATCTCCCTGCTTTAGTCCCTGCGAGATTTTGAAAAAGTCTGTCCGGTTGTTTTGTATTCGTACACATGCCTGAGTTTCATCCATTGTGGCTTTAATGAGTCTAATTAGCTTATGTGGTATTGCTAATTCTGCCAATATATAGTATAGTCTGTCCCTTTTGACTGAATCGTATGCCTGTTTGAAGTCTACAAACACGTTGTGAACATCAATGTCGTGTTCCCACGATTTGCTCAAGACCTGCTTGACTGTAAATATTTGATCCATTGTCGATCTTCCCCATCTGAAGCCCGTCTGATATTCTCCAATAATATTTTCTGTTAGTGGTTGGAGTCGCTGGTTTATAATATACGTGAGGACTTTATACGCTGTACATAGTAGAGAAATTCCACGGTAGTTTTTGCATTGGAGTTTGTCTCCTTTTTTATAGATTGGGCATACTATACTTTTCTTCCATTCGTCGGGTATTTTCTCTTCTTGCCATATTTCTTTGATAAGCGCGTGGATATGACTTGATAGGTGGTTGCCACCTACCTTATACAGTTCTGCTGGAATCTCGTCAACTCCCATGGCTTTATTGTTTTTCTGGGCCTTAATAGCTTCGAGAACTTCCTCTATGGTTGGAGCTTCTACTTCAACTTCGTTCTCTTCTACATGGTTCGTACCCATTTCATCTTCCATATCTACTTGTGTTCCAAGTAGGGTCTGAAAATAATGCTTCCAGGTTTCTGTGACTTTCTGTTGGTCACTGATTATTTGCCCACTTTCATCTTTGCATAGGCTTGTTTGAGGTTTATATCCACTTTTTATCTTTTTTAGGTATTCGTAAGCTCCTCTAATTTCGTTTTTTTTTTAATTTTGTTCCATTTCTTCTATTTGTCCATTTTCATAAGCTCTCTTTTTGTTTCTGCATATCTTGTCTGCTTTCCGTCTTGCGACTTCAAATGATGTTCGTCTTTCCCGTGTTCTTCTTGTTATGCACATTTTGTGCGCTTCGTTTCTTTCTTCTATCGCTTGTCTGCACTCGTCATCAAACCATGTTCCTCTTCTCTTCTTCTTCTTGTTTCCCACGGTGGACGCTGCTGGTGTCAGCACTGCTGTTTTGATATTATTCCATTTGCTCTCTATGGATTGCAGTTCTTGTGTCCTTAGCTCATTTGTGACTTCTTGCTCGAACTTCTCTCTACATTCCTGAGTCTTCAGTTTTTCCAGGTCTAGTTTGTTTGTTCTTTGTTGTCTTTCGTTTCTTTCTCTGTTAACTCTGCACCTAAATTTGGTTTGCAGTAAAAGATGGTCTGATCCACAGCATGCTCCTCGTCGTGTTTTCACATCAGATATACTACTGGCTGGCCTTTTGTCTATCATCACATGGTCAATTTGATTGGTTGTGGTTCCATCTGGTGAGATCCACGTCATTTTGTGTATGTCTTTATGTGGGAATCATGTGGAGCTTATAACCATGTTTTTACTGGTGGCAAAATTTATCAAAAACTCCTCATTCTCGCTTGTTTCATTGTGCAGTGAGTGTTTTCCTGTTGTGCCATAGAACTGCGGTTCCTTGCCTATTTTGGCATTCATATCACCCATTATAACCTTAATGTCATTTTTTGGCGCGTTGTCATATACTATCTCCAGCTGTTGGTAGAAGCTTTCCTTTGTATGTTGCTCTTGTTCATCTGTTGGGCAGTAGATGTTTATCATAGTAAGGTTGAAGAAGTGGGTGCGAATTCTTAGTTTGCATATCCTTTCATTCACTGTCTGGAAGTCTATGATTTTTGACTTAAAATCGTTATCTACCACAAATGCAACTCCACATTCTTTGATTCCTTGTTCTTTGCCACTATATAGAATTGTGTGCGTTTTGGTGTCCCTGACACCTTTCCCCAGCCATCTTGTCTCCTGAAGAGCAGTGATCATAAGATTATATCTTTTTAGTTCTTGTAGAAGTGCAGTTTGAGCTCCTGGTCTATTTAGCGTCCTCACATTCCAACTTCCAAATGCATAGTCCATGTTTCGTAGCTTTAGTCGTTTCCGAAAGTTCCCCTTGTTCCGAGGCAAATGTTTAGGTTTCATAACAGTGTGTTTTTCCGGGAGTGGGTTGTTAGCCCACTGCCCAACCTTCCTCCTTTACCCGGGCTTAGGACCGGCAATGGTGACTCCTGAGCTATTCAATCCACCCATTAGTCACCACAGGCGGAGTTATATTTTAATTCTATCTAATATATTCGAGGACATCTCGGCAAGGGAATACAAGATTACATTCCACATGCCGGTTATCTGTATCTCTGTATTGAAACAAAAATCTAGTACCGTCTTTATATGTTATTTCTTTACTCCGTTTGGAGTACCAGAAATTGAATTCATTACGAATTTTGATCATGATGAACGGCATGTGGAATAAAATCTTAGATTCCCTTGCCGAGTAATTTATCAAGCTGTTTGGAATTCGATTTAGCCAGGTAGAAATCGTTTGATTTCCCTTTTTGATATATTTCTATGTTTGTTTATATTTGCAGGTAAATCATTTGACTTGCTGGACGGGATATTGGGAATGTCCATTACTCCATTTGTTCCTGGACTTGGTAGACGACTTTTTTATCACGCCATGAGTAGCGATAGAGAGCATTATATTAAAACTTCCGATCTGAAAAATAGGTATTTGTGGGAGCTCAAAAGACGTTTTCCAACTCTTTTTAAGGTGAATATTAATTAAATATGTTTTCATAATTAAGAATATTACATATAGAAAATGTTTCGTTAAACAACAAATTTTTAGCTAATAATTTTTCGTGTTGTTAAACATAAGCAAACAAAATAAAACATTAGCATAAAAAACATTTTTCGTGACATTATTTGATAAAGGTATCTAACAATTGCTGTTGACAAAATTGGTGATAATAAAATGTAATAATCCAAATATGCCAAAGATTAAACGTCATTTTTTAATTCTAAATAACACGCAGGATCTGTATTTAATTTTAAATACTAAAGGTTGTAGCATTTGCAATTCATTGATTTTTTTTGGTGGATATTGAAATCCCCTCGTATATGTGGTATATTGAAGTCTCCTCATAAATGTTTGAAAAGTCGCAGAATATTTTTTAGTTTATTTTAGTTTCCTATTTGTACGTGTGTCAAGAACTGGAGCAACATGCAAACTGCCATGAAAGTCATGAACTATTTAAAAAAGTTAAATATTTAGCCCGAGAGTTCAAGCCACAACTTCAAGCCATTCAAGACTCTAATGGAGAAGTAAAAACCGACATAGAGAGCATCGCAGAGACCTGGAAAAATTACTGCTCAGAATTATACAAAGACACTTCAAAGATGACGCATCAGTCTCAGAACACAAAAAACATGCAATCAGAGAGGCTGAACCAATCATTTTACGAGCAGAAGTAGAAAAGGCTCTTAACCAACTAAGAAACAAAAAAACTCCAGGAATCGATGGCATAACAGCGGAGACTCTAAAAGCAATAGGCAAAATTGGCGTAGATGTAATGCTGGATATGTGCAATATGATATGGATCACAGGTGAATGGCCTGATGAGTGGTGTGAATCAACCTTGATCCCTATCCATAAAAAAGGATCACTAACCATATGCAGCAATTACAGAACCGTTGCCCTTATCCCTCATGCAAGCAAAATCCTGCTACATATAATCAATGAACGGCTAAAGAACTTTCTACTTCCAGAGATAGCCGAAGAACAATGTGGATTTGTACCAGGAAAGGGAACGCGTGAGCAAATACTCAACACCAGACAGATAGTAGAAAAAGCGAGAGAACATAACATACCAATGTTGCTCTGTTTTGTAGATTACACAAAGGCTTTTGATTCAGTAAAATGGGATCCTCTCTGGAGTATAATGGAAAATATGGGAGTACCTAACCACCTAGTTAACCTAATAAGAAATCTGTATAATAAAAACTCAGCCAAAGTTAAAGTACATGGAATATATTCAAATGCATTCAAAACAGAGAAAGGAACTAGACAAGGTTGCATACTATCACCATTATTGTACAACATATATTCTGAATATATAATGAGAAAAGTACTAGATGAATGGGATGGAGGAATCACTATAGGAGGCAGAAAAATCAGTAACCTGCGATACGCAGATGACACACTTATACTAGCAGCGAATGAAGTCGAAATGATTACCATCATCGAACGGCTAAGCCGAATAAGTGAAGAATTCGGACTTCAAATCAACACCAGAAAAACAAAAATAATGATTGTAGACAGAGAAAATAATAATCTACCGCATATACGCCAAATAGGGATTTTCGAAGTAGTCGACAGATTTGTATACTTGGGCTCTCTGATAACCAACAATGGTGATTGTTCCTCAGAAATCAAACGTAGACTAGGAATGGCCCGAACCGCAACTGCTAAATTAATTAAAATATGGAAAGACCGAACAATAACAAGGAATACTAAGCTTAGGTTGGTCAATGCCCTTATTTTTCCCATTGCTACATATGCAGCTGAAACATGGACTCTCAAAAAAATCGATAGAAGTAAGATCAAAGCCTTCGAAATGTGGGTATATAGAAGAATTCTACGCGTGTCCTGGACAGAACATAGAACCAACCTGTCAATTCTGGAAGAGCTTCATATAAAAGACAGGCTACTAAAAAAAGTAAACCAAGCATACCTAACTTACTTCGGCCACATAGCTAAAAGAATGGGCACCATGGAACTATTGGTAGTAGAAGGTAAGATAGAAGGCCGAAGACCAAGAGGAAGATCTCCAATACGATGGGTGGACCAAATGAAGAGTTTGGTGGGAAAATCCATACATGAAGCCGTCCATATGGCACAAGATCACAGTCAATGGAGACAGCAGACTAATAATATTTAGGGTGACACTACGCCCTGACAAGGGCTAAAGGATTGAGGAGGAGGATTTCTACGTAGTAAAACACCGAATTCTTTCAATTCATTTTAGCGTTGCCAAGTAATAAAAACCATTTTATTGTTTGTTTATGTCACGGGCGCGAATTCTCCTATATTTTTCTTTAATTTGAGCCGCTCGATACTGCGTTGAAAGAAAGAAAGAAAGAAAATGGTGTCCGGTCTTTAGGCAGATTTAAAGCAGTTCTATCTAAGATCCAAGAATAAGAAATAGTTCAGCATTGCACAGAATTCGACAAACGATTTTGAATGATGCTGAATTTTATTTCTACCCGTAAATCAGTTGGCTGGTCGGGACTTCACTAGATCTTTCATGAAAAAGAAATGACTATCTTTACGAGTTCCACGAAAAACAAGCATTGCTAAAACCATGGGCTTCAATAGAGTGCAACTAGCTCAGTATTTTAAAATTTTGGCGAACACTGTAAAAAAATATAAGTTACCTTCCAACTGTATCTATAAGTCGATGAAACGGCTATTCGGACAGTGTCAAACCATCTGCCCAAACATGTTGCTCTAGTTGGAAAGGGAGATGTAGCAAAAGCTATAGCTGCCGAGCAAAGACAAACAATTACGACTGTACTTCTTCTTCAAGTGCCGTCTTCGTTTCGAAGTTTGGCTATCATCAAAGCTATGCGTATTTTTGATGCTGCAGATCTAAACAGTTGGTAATTGGTGCAATTGTACCATTCTCTCAAGTTTTTCAACCATGAATGCCTTCTTCTTCCTATAGATCTCTTTCCCATTATCTTTCCCTGTATAATCAATTGCAGCAACTGGTATTTATCTCCCCTCATAACATGTCCCAAATATTGTAGTTTGCGCTTTTTAACAGTAAGTATCAGCTCTTTCTCTTTCCGCACTCTCCGCAAAACCTCCACATTTGTTACTTTCTCTGTCCAGGGTATTCTTAATATTCTACGATACATCCACAACTCAAATGCTTCTATCTTTTCGGTATCGATCTTTTTCAATGTCCATGTTTCCATCCCGTAGAGGAGAACTGACATAAAGTAACATCTCAAAAGGCGAATTTTAAGTTTTAGACTTAGATCTCTTCCGCAGAACACCTTTTTCAATTTAGTAAATGTGGCTCTAGCTTTCTCTATTCTGGTTCTGATTTCTCCAGAACAATCATTATTTTCGTTGATAACAGTTCCCAGGTAATTATATCTTCTTACACGTTCGATTTTTTGGTCATGCACGGTTATGTCAGGGAAGTTCTGTGGTGATTTAGATATTAGCATTATTTTTGTTTTGCTTACGTTAAGTGATAATCCGTGTTCTTTACTGCATTCTACTATTTTGTTAATTAGTATTTGAAGATCTTCCCAAGTTTCTGCGATTAGTACCGTGTCATCGGCATATCTCAAGTTGTTTATTCGGATGCCATTTATCTTAATACCTATATTTTAATCCGAAAGTGCTGTGTTTATAATGTCTTCGGAGTATAGATTGAATAAGGTCGGTGAGAGTATACAACCCTGTCTTACGCCTTTCTTGATCTCGATTTCCTCCGTTGTCTCTTGCTCTATTCGGATATTTGCTTTCTGATTATAGTAAATCTTAGAGATAATTCTAATGTCCCTTTTATTCAAGTTTTTTTCTACTAGCAGTTTCATTAAGTGATCGTGACGAACTTTATCAAACGCTTTGTTGTAATCAATAAAGCACATATATATATCTTGGTTTATATCTAGACATCTTTGGCATATGACGTTAAGTGCAAATAGTGCTTCTCTTGTTCCAAGCCCGTTCCGAAATCCGAATTGAGTATTACTAATATCTGCATCTAGTTTTCTGTTAATTCTTGAGTGGATTACTTTGATGAATACTTTTAATGTATGCCCCATTAAGCTTATAGTGCGGCAGTCAGTGCACTGTTCTACATTTGCCTTTTTTGGTAAGGTTACAAAAGTTGAAAGTAGCCATTCCTTTGGTATTTCTCCTCTTTTGTAGATGGAGTTAAAAAGGTCGAGTAGAATATTCACTGATTCGCCTTCCACAAGCTTAAGAAGTTGTGATGTGAGCCCGTCTGGACCCGGTGATTTACCATTTTTCATTATTTTTATAGCGTATAATAGTTCTTCTTTAGTTATTTCTGGTCCTTCGTCGCCTTGCAAGTTATCTATATTAGGTTCTTGTCTTTCATCGTCGAACAATTCTTCTACATAGTTCTTCCAGGTCCTAAGCTTTTCTTGTAGATCGGCTATTATTTCACCATTTGCGTTGCATAGGAGATTGGGATGTTTTCGTTTTTGTGTACCTGTCAGTTCCTTTATCTTTTTATGTAAGTTAAAAGTATCATGTTTGAGATGTAGTTCTTCGATTTCATCGCATTTTCTTGTATAAAAATTTTCCTTTGCAGTTCTTATTTCTTTTCTGATTTGTTTGTTTACTTCATTATATTTTTGGCTGCATTTTCCCTTTAACTGTCTTCGCTCTTCCATGAGACCTAAAATTTTTTCTGTTATCCATTCTCGTCCTTTTTTTTGTTTCTCTTTGGTAAGCATTTTCTGGGCAGGTTTTATTATGGCGTCTTTTAAATCTTGCCACTTGTCTTCTACATGCGTGTTCTCTGTCTTTGTAGAAAGCATTCGTAAGTTATCATTGATATGTTGTTTTAAATCTTCTTTAATTGTTGGATCTTGTAAGCGGCTGGTATCTATGTGATCTATTTTTGTTTTATTTGAAGGTCTTTTGAGTCTAATGTGTACCCGCGCTATCAGGGGGTTATGATCTGAAGAAACATCTGCGCCTGGATAAGCCTTAACTGATCTTATACAGTTTCTGTATCGCTCATTTATTAAAATATAATCTATCTAATTCCTAATTGTGTTTTCCCTAGTGTGTTGAGGGGACGTCCATGTGTACTGTGTGTGTACGGACGACTGTGCTGCATGAGTGTAATTGGTTACTATGTTTCTCCATTTTTCTTATTTGCTCGAAACTGGATGTCTGCCACCACATAGCAGCCATAAGACCCATACGCTCGATCTGGCATTTTTCAAACCATTAAATGCTTGACAGCTTGACAGCCGGACAAGTTGCCATCCAGGACAGGTTCTGTCTGTTTACCATGTGGCTGGTCTCTATTCCACAGCATTTGCAAAAACTGCTATTGTAGATATAGCAAGAGCTTTTGGTCTAAAGGAATCTACCCAGTACCTAGGTAAAAATATTTTTTCGGGCGTAGATTTTATGCCGGCGGAAGTAACAGGACAAGATTTATTTAAAGATTCAGACGATGAAGGTCATGTTTTTATCCAGTTTCAACAAAAAGAAGAACTTGTTACTGATGCGATAGAGCCCCAGCCGTTATCAAAATTTGAAGATAGAATTTCTGTACCTAGTTCTTCAAATATTGAAAAAGAAATTGTTACTGACACAAAAGAGTCTCAGCTGTCATCAAAATCAGAACAGTTAGTAATTTTAACTCAAGACGTTATTTCAATCCCAAAAATTAAGATAAAAAGGAAACGAACCAGGAAAAGTTTGAAGTCAAACCTACCAGCATCGACACCGAACAAGGAGCGAATTTTAGAAGAACAACAAGAAACGAAGGAAGCAGAAAAAAAAGAGGAAAGCATTACTGAAAAATCAAAAGATCAAATCTCAAGCCAAAAGTGCTAAAGTTCGTGCTGCCAAAAAAAACGTTTTCGACGAATCATCATCTGGTGAATTAGTAGCACTCTCCTATCAAGAAAGTGTTAATCTTGTGACATTCATTTTTCCGATAACGATGAAGAGCAAGACATTGAAATTGTACCAAATACTTTACCTGATGACTTTGTCGTAGTGAAGGTTTTTGAAAAAAAAATCATACAGAATATTTGTCACCAAAGTCTGCCAAGTAGATGATGGTGGTAGTGAAGGTGTATTTTTTTAATTAAATTTATATACGTTAACCTACTACAAAGCCTCCTGTCACAATAATAGTTTTTTTGTTTATATTTAAAATATGATTTTAATTGTCATTTTATTATCAGTTTTAAAATAAATAATATCAAATTATGTTAATATCTCTTTTCGTTTTAGACTTATGTTGGAACAAGAAAAACACAAAGTGCTGCAGAGGCAATTGACAGTACCGGAGTACAGTATTTTGGTTTAATGAAAAATATAGAAGTTGCATGCTTTGTCACCAAAGGAGAGTACGGCATTCCCGGCAACTATACAGATATTGTGGCGAACAATCAACAAACGTTGCAATTTATTGGTGGCATGAAGGTAGGAATCATTTTTACTATCCTGTTTGAACTATTAAGAATTTATTTTATACAACAAATATATTAAGGCGGACATTTTACATTGTTCCGAAATTTTTTTTGTGGTATCTTATCTAAAAGCAATTATTATTTTAATTGGATTAAGCCACAATTGAAGTTAATATATTTGACGTTTCAATTTCCACTTAGGAAATCGTTCTCAAAATACAAACATTAATGCATTAAACAAATTTTGCTTCTTTTTTAAATGTTCTATTTTTATTAATTTTGGTCGATGTGTAAAATTTTTTAAAATTAAAAAATTATTTTTCTGTACAGGTCAAAAATAACCCGCATAATGGGGACGAAGAGTTAATTATAATAACGTCCAGATTCCAGAGAGTAATAACAAATACAGTAAAATCAGGGGAAATTAACTTTAGAATCCAAACAGCTTCTACTTCGGACCTAAAAGCCGGCACAAAATGCGATCAACATAATTCCGAAGACTACGGGGACACCCAACTTCAGTCCAGCACCAGTCATTTTTATTTTTTTTTATATTTTCATTAGTTTTACATATTTAAAAAACTAAATAAAATGTTTTGCATATAAAATTATTTATATTATATATATATATATATATATATATATATATATATATATATATATATATATATATATATATTATATTAGTTGATACAAGTATTCCTTCCAGGTTTTTAGGATTTTCCTGTTCTTGCTTGGTATCCGGTCTTGATATCCGAAACTTCTTTGAAGAACTGTCTCGCTTGTTCTTTCTTTTTTCTTCTATATCTCTGATTATTTGTTCCTGATACTCCCTCTTCTTCCTTTTCATTAGTTTTCTTGTCTCTGTTCTTCTTTGTCTATACATTTCATTGTTGTTGTGCGAGGGGTTTTGTAGCATGTCCCATCTAGCCATATTTCTTGATGTTATGGAGTTCAGGCATTCATCATCAAACCATGTTTTTATTGTTGTCTTTTTGTGTTTTCGTATTTCATCTGATACGCTTGTCAGAGCTTGATATTTTTCCAAGCTGAGTTTATGTTGTTATATTTTTCTGTCTGTGTTAGAGCGATTTTTATAGCCTTTTGAAATTTCTGTTTTATTTCCTTATTACGTAGAACTTGTGTTTTACTTGTGGTATTTTATAATTGCGTTGGTGTATTCTTGTGTATTTTTTTGGACGCTATTCTTGTCCTTATCTTCGCTTTTACCAGAAAATGATCCGTGTTTCCATCAGCTCCTCTTAGGCTTTTTACATCTGGACAGTTACTATCCCTCCTGGCATCTCCTAGAACATGATCGATCTGATTTCTTGTGACGCCGTCGTTGGAGACCCATGTTTGTTTGCGTATTTTCTTGTGTTCGAACATTGTCGATTTTATTAGTAGATTGTGGGACGCTGCAAAGTCTATTAACCTTGTTCCATTATCCTTGCAGACATCGTGAAGACTATGGTTACCTATTGTTGGTTTGTAAGCTGATCTTTCCCAATCTTTGCAATGAAATCTCCTAGTAGTAATATACTAAATAAAATTATAAGATTGATAAAAATACGAATGCAAGAGTCTCAAGAAATAATAGACACCAGAAGAGAAAAAATAGAAATAATAAAAAAAGAAGTAAGACAAGGAGACGAGCTCTCAACTGTACTATTTATTCTATCACTAGACAAGATAATAAAAAAGCTGCCAAACGCAGGAACTATAAACAAGAATGCAGTGCAAATAATAGGATATGCGGACGATATAACCACAGCAGCAACAGATAAAAGGTCATTAAAGAAAACCTTCCGTGAAATAGAAAACCAAGAAAAAGAAAAAGAATACACAAATGACAGAACTGACAATAATGAATAATGAACCAAATCATATAAAAAAGACAGTAACAATTGATGAGTTGACAAACATAGCAGAGGACATATCTAATCAGTTAAATTAATACTTTGCACATGTAGCAAATAACGTCCAGTTAATATAGAGCCTATATTGATTGAAAAGAATTGCTACCGATTGTAACTAAATTTTTAAACTCCTTTCTTATCACTCCATTAATCCTAATCTCTATAAAAATGGCGATATTAGGTAATATTGTATAAAGTAGGTGACTCAAAGCCCTTTGAAAGTTACTGCCAATATCTCTTTTCTCTTGGAATCATGTCCAAATATTGAATAATTGAACAATTACTTGAATTATCTAGCTACGGATATAACAGACAATACAGTTTTAGACATTATTAAAGCACGAGCTCTGTTGCTACTAACCGACTTAATTAAAGATATAAACAATCAATTAGACAACGGGTAAAGTTATGTATTTGTATCAATGAATTTGAACTGGAAGGCATCCATAACCATTATCCTACACAAAAATTAACTTAATTTTTTTTGTACTTTTTTTTCCAATTATTGCTATTTTTTCAACAATAAACATTAAATTTTTAATTTGTAGCTAACCAAATATTGTGTAAAATGGAATAATCCTTTTCTCTAGGATCAATATTTTTCGAATTATAAACAAAAATAGGAGCAAAAAATGAGAAATTTTCAATTGTTTTTAGATTTTGTTAAATAGAAAATTTAGCACAGGGTTTTCGACTGGCGCATATCGTGATTATCTATACTGGGCACATCCTGAAGAGATTCCAGCAAAAAAATAGCTTCCTGTGGAAAATGTCCAATCCAAAACAGATCCCGCCTAGACTATAAAGAAATTGAAGCTGATCGAAGATCATCATCATAACGATTGATAGCAACAACAATTCTTAAACATTAAAAAAAATGAATTAATAAAAATAGATAAAAAACCATATTGCAATTAAAAAATAAATTTCAGACCGAAAATGTTTCACCAAATTCGAAATTAGTTAATATATGGCAACGGTATTACGTCACAGATCTAATATTAATGCAAATTCATCAGGTTTCAAATAATCATTGTCTATTTTGAGAGATTGAACTTATAGAAGAACAGAACAACCTTTTATAAAATTTTCTCTCCGGCAATGCAAAAATCTTTGACGTAGAGCTATTGTCGGTAAAGGAATTAATATTCATCATTTCAATCTTATGTTTTTTTATTTGTTGCGAATTCCCTGACAGGTAATACAAGAACCAGAATCTTTATGTAACCTTTGTAGGCTTGCTTGGAACAGGCCATAAGTATTAATATTCCTACGTTAGTTGTGTTAAACAGAAAGAAAGAACGGAAGGTAATTGTGTGTATTTTGAAATGTTTTCTTGTGCAAGTAAGTGGGTGGCTATATTATTATTTTTTTAATTAAAGAAATATTATCCTGTCGTGATAAGTGTGGTTGAATTGCTAATCTTAAATAAAATAATAAATAGAGACGAACCAAAATTATTCGTAATAGCCAGATATATGATAATTTTTTTTCATTACTACAAATACACTTAGATGTAAAAAAAACGCAAAATTTTGGTCAAATTCAAGGTATTTCAGTTTTTTATTTTTAGCCCCATTTTGATGATTTATTTAGCACATTGTGTAAAAATTTATAAATTTTATTTTAGTATAGTGAGTTTTTTAATAAAATTTTGTATTTGACTTATTATACAGGGTTAATCGAAACATGGTTTTTTATCCTAACTTTGAAACATCTTGTGAAATAATTCCCTTAGCGGATTTTCGTAAAAACTTGTTTTTTGGTTGCAGCCATGTCTTCTATTATTTTATGACTTTATATATATATATATATATATATATATATATATATATATATATATATATATATATATATCCCGTTTATAGCGTAATCCGCCTTTGGGTTCCCGTTCGCCAAGCCTGTCTATTCTTCTTCAAATAGATTTCTTGCTGACATGGCTTTTGAAATTCCTTGCATCCATGTTGTATCCATTCCTTGGAATCAAATTCCTTGCATCCAAAAATCCATTTCAACTGCCAAGAGGTTACCTTTAAGTTTTTGTGATAACTGCCATACTTCTGAGCCATACACGATTACTGGTTTCAATATTGTGTTATATATTCTTTTTTTCGTTTCCGGTCTTATATTTTTCTGCCATAGTACTGAATTCAATGCACCTATAACTCGTTTCCCTTTGGTTATTCTGTCTTTTATGGCTTCATCAGTTCTTCCTGTTTTTGTTAGTTTTACCCCCAAATATATACATTGATCGCATTTCTTAATTTTCCCGTCTTCTAAGTCGAGGTCATCTGCAGTATTTTCTCCTCCTATGCAAAGATATTGCGTTTTTTGTAAATTTACTTCGAGGCCCCATTTTTTGTACTCTTCCATTAGTTTTCTAGCCATATACTCTAGGTCTTCCTTGTCTTGGGCAATAACTACCTGGTCATCTGCATAATGCAGCGTGTATAACGTTTCATCCCCAATAGACAGCCCCATCCCTTTACACTTCTTTTTCCATTGCCTGAGTGCTTCGTCGATATATATATATATATATATATATATATATATATATATATATATATATATCCTCCTAACATTGCAGACTCTGCATTAAGGTTTTTACCATACACAACGGACTCGAGCGATTTATGGACTCAATATACAGAGTCCGTAAAGTTTTTCATGTATTTCTTTTAACTGATTGTTATTTTCTACCAAAATTTTATTGAATGCGAAACTAGAGACCTCTACCTACTGCACAAATGTATTACAAAAATTGTGGGTATTATAGAATAGCTGCAAATTATAAAACAAAATGAGTCCGTAAAGTCGCCTTTAATTCAGCCATTTGCCGTAGAGAGCGCTTTTATGAGTATACTGAATGTGTATATCACTTATGTGTTAAACCATATTGCCATATTACAGACTCGACTTAGCTGGCAACAGTGTTGTTCAACTATTGAATCATTTTATCTGGCTCAAATTACAGAGTAAGATTGTTTACGTTCATATGGTGATGTTATCGTTAATTTTTATGTGTTGGAAAATGTATTGGTATACAGTGTATATATTTAGTAAAATAAACGAGGATATTTTGTTTCACAGAAATTACTTCGACACTGAAATTTTTAATAAAAGAACACGCATTTCTATTTATATACTCGTATAGAATAAGCTACTTATTTTTTATTCAATTGAAAAGTTACATTGAGATTAGATTTTTGAAAGGACGCAATTTAATTTTTTTGATATGTGGGGGTGGTGAGTATAAACTTCAATTCAAGTTTGTGAAGTCGCAACCCTTGTTCCCAGGCCGTCATCTTGGAAAAAGACAGGCAAAGGGTTTTTGCTCTGTATCTCGTTTATTAGCAACTTTACAGAAAATTTTATAAATCATTATTTTTACCAAATTAAATTTTCTACAACTTTATCTGTGTATTACTTTTTATCGGAAAATAAAAAATAACAAAGTTATAAACCAAAATAACTAGAAAATTTTGAAAAATTTTTCGATTGTGCTTTTCGCTTATAACTTTTTCTAGCGATTTTACAATAAAACAATAATTAAAAAAAAACAATAAATTTTAAAAAAATGGATGGTTGTGTAGCTGTGTGAAAACTTTTGTAAATGGATTCCGTTAATAAATAAAATGATATCAGAGCAATATCATAGAGTAATTTTCACTACAAATTTGTTTAATTTCATTCATTTTCTAGTTTTTGCAGCGCTCCAATGTTGATTGGGTCCTTGAATACTCGCCATCTTGAAATAAGGAGTGTAAAGGAGAGTGAAAATTTTATAAAACATTATTTATAGCAAATTAAATTGTATTTATTTATATAACTTTTAATCGAAAATTGAAAAAAAAAGTTACAAACAAAAATAACTAAAACATTTGAATAAATCTTTTGGACCTTATAACTTTTTTCTGGTTATTTTAAAATAAAATTACATTAAATCGACCTTAAGCTTAGTTTTTTTATTATATATTTTTTCTTCATATCATTTATTATTTTGTTAACCTTCCTATGGACTCTCTCTCTCCCTCTCTCTCTTTCTCGCTCTTTCTCTCTCTCTCTCTCTCTCTTTCTCTCTCTCTCTCTCTCTCTCTCTCTCTCTCTCTCTCTCTCTCTCTCTCTCTCTCTCTCTTTAATATCTCCTCTCAAAGGGAGTGTAGTGATCATCGTGATTCCTATGGTATCATTAGTTTATTATTGATCTTTTTCATAATCACCTATGAGGTAGAGTCTGGAAGTTTTTGAACAAACTTTTGTTTGAGCCTTATACGTTTTTTTCTGGTCATTTTGCAATAAAAGACATGAGAGCACTATTATAGAGGGTTTTCAACGAATAATTTTTACTGCAAATGTGTTTTATTTCATGAATTTCTTTCGGTTTTATAGCATTCCGAAGTTGACCGGATTCATGAGTACTCATAAAAATATGATAAAAATGAACAATTCCACTTAGTTTCCTGTTATAAATTTTTTTATTCACATCTTTAGGAATCAATTTATCATTTTCTTAACAGTTCTATGTTATTATTATTGTATTATCGACCCTTTTTATCAACAAAAAACTTTCTCCGTCTCATGCGCTTGCGTCGCACGAAAAAGCACAAATCGACAGAGATAACGTTTAATAAGAGTACCGTGCCAACAGTATCCTAACATCAACTTCTTAGTAATGTAGAAAACCAAAAAAACCTAATGGATCTTCACAAACTGCTCTATTAGAAGTGGGTTTTAGTGTCGTCCAGGCAGAATCTGATGCAGACACAGTCAGAACCTGTTTTCGCTTCCTTAATTTATATCATGTGCTTCTGAGACCGTCGTAACAGACGACATTGCCATTCTTGTCTTGCTTACGGCATTAAGAATTAAGAGGTGTAATGATGTGCGTCAAAAGTGTCCGATTTTTTTAAACCTTCAAAAGGGTGTAAGTCGCATCAATTATACAGTCCCTTAAGTTTTATGTATGGCGATCATTGCAGAGTTTTGCTATTTTCCCATGCTATTTCAAATTGCCACACAACATCAGCAGCTTACAAGATCGGCAAAATTCATTAAAATTTTACAGAAACATCCTTAATTCGGTAGCCGAACAACAATATTTCTCAGTGAGAAGGCCCAGCTATCTTTGCTCACTGTCGTTGGCGAATATTTTTTTGTCTCTTTATATAATGGAAAGAAAGATGATTCTCTGACAGCATGAGATACAAACGATTTGCCGAGACCAAAATGACCAAAGTGACTAAAAATGTATTTAACTTATCATTGATTCCGCCAACACAAGATACAGCACGTTTCGAAAGTCTTAGAATTTATCAGCAGGAAACACTGCGATCCTGAAGTTTGGGGCTAAAAAAACGTAAAAAAATTTGGATACCAATCAAAACTTTCAAAACTCCAGCTCCCTTGAACTTCTAAAATAAATTTTCTGCAGATGCAAGGCAAACTGTGAAAGTATGTGTGGTTGCCAAAACGTAGACCTCAAATGCTCTAAAGTGTGCCTTGATTGTTCTGGTGAAACCTGCATAATATCATGGAAATATCAAAATTAATCAAAAGGTTCTAAGAATTTGAAAATGAATTACCCACAATTACGCCAATTCTAACTCTACTGAATTAGGAACACAGCCTCGACTATCAAAGAAAAGTAACAAACAGTAGCTGGAAAACAACTTCTTAAATATATAGTTATGCTTAATATTATCTCACTTAGAAATTGTTTGTGGATTAAGCCTAATGGGAATAACACTTAAAAACGCGCCTTCAAACTTTACTTCATACATGGTCGGGAAAAAGTAGATAATAAACGAATAATCACAAAACAATGTTAACAAAATAATAAATTGTATAAATAAAAAAATATAAATACTTATACTAGAAAACTAAGCCTAATCGTTTTTATCGTATTCTTACGAGTATTCAAGAACATTGGAGTTCTCTAAAATCCAAAGAAATCAATGAAATTAAACAAATTTGTAGTAAAAATTATTCTTCGAAAAACCCCCTATAATATTGATTGAATGTAATTTTATTGTAAAATGACCAGAAAAAAGTTAAAAGATGGTGACCGGGGGACAAGAATGGCGACCCTACAAACTTAAACTTAAGTTTCTGTTCCACATTATTACACTCCACACATCAAAAAAGATAATTGCATCCTCTTAAAAATGTAATATTAATGTAACTTTTCAATTAACTATAATGTCTTCTTCCTCTTTTTTTATATAGGCAAATTGCCCGTTTTCTTCCTATTCGTGTGGATAATTTCGTTTTATCTCTTTATTTCCAGGGCTAATCTAACTATGATATTTTCTACCATTCTGCTAATATAATAGATTCAATTTCTT